GTGAGGAGGACAGCTGTTTTCTGTGTGATCTCTGCCTTCAGTCCATCTCAGACCTCTAGTGTCAACTCTTAACCACTTAAGAGTCCTCTGGAGCAGTCTTAACTTTTCTTGAAAGTAAAAGTGATTCGGAAATTTCTTAGATTTGCTCCTACTCTCAGACTTAAGTTAAAAAAAATCCACTCTATGAAGTTTGATAAATACGGGCCCTGGTCTAGAGTTAATTAGGCTTCACTTCTGCCCACACTGCCAAAAGCACCAAAAGGTGGCTATGTAATCTTATTTTCTGAGACAGTGAATTTTGTTTTTCATTATTCATAAGCCACAATCATGAGAAGTACAAGAAATAAAGTCTTAAAATGTTTCACTGTGTGATGAATCTACGCAACATGACTTTCACAAAAGCATTTTTTCACACAATATTAAAAACGTTTGAGCTGCTCCTGTGCCGAAGTGTCGATGGGGAAAGTTTGTTCCTATGAGTTTTGATGTTAAAGGCTTTAGGGATCCACAGACAAACACTTTGTGAAGGAAGATTTAGTGCAGGAATAAATAAAAATGCAGGACTTTGACCCAGAGAGAGGTTCGTGTCAGGATGTGATTTAAAAAAAACAACAACAATTTGCACAGATTCAGGTGTCGCTCGTTTGAAACCTGAAGTTGTACACACAATTTAAGCTCTTATTTCAGTTTTTGTCATTGTAGTTCTTTTGTACCAACTYGGTTTGGAGAATTAAAGTTTAATTCTGACCAGATCGATGAGTCAATGGCTAGTCCAAGCTGGGAGAAGACCAAAGAGGATTTCTGCCATCTTAAAACAGCTTCATTAAAAAAAATCACTTCTGCTTACATTTTATAAACTTTTATGTTGCTCTTGATTGCACAATATTGAGATTTTTTTCTTAAGTATTTAAGTATTTGCAAGTCCAAATAGCAACAATAGCTAGCAATTAGGGCTGCAACAATTAATCGATTAATYGACGACTAATCGATTATTAAAATAATAGCAGCAATAACATTTCAGGTACAATTTGGGTACTGTTAATTAAAATGTTTCTGTCAAAATAACAATTTAAATGCAAAATTGACAGGTTTGTAAAATATTGTTTACTTAAACTTGTCTTTTTTTACATTTAAGCTTTAAGAYGGCAACAATCTGTTTCAGTCTTTCTTGGATTAGCTGTTAACACGTATATCAGGTCAGAATTAAAACTATGTATCTCCWAACTGAGGCCTTTCAAAGAGCTATCTGCAACAGGTAAGAYATTGTTTTATAACCTTTCCATAGACTTCACAAKACCCAAACTAGACATTTAGTATGATTCATTTACATGCCAGCACATGTAGTGTCAGACTCTACACACAGTTTAAAACAGCATCTGCCAGGACAAAATGCTTGAAAATGTTCAGCAACAAAAGAGGGGTATGCCCTCAATCAGTTTTAAATACATAAATAAAGCTGGTGACTCTTGTCTTCACTGATGTAAATTGGCATTCCCCTTACATTAAAGAGAAATTCCTTCATCAACACATCACTTCTAGCTGGGTCACGCGCCGGCAAACTGAAAAAAGAGCGGACCTTTTATCTCGCGGCAACACCAAACAATTTGGTGCTAAATTTATGTTAYCTTTTTTTGGTAAATGTGTCATGTAGTTCAAATGTTTATCTTTGAAACAATTTGTTGWTACTGCATTTTCACCTCATGATTTAACTGAATTCTGATGTGAAACTCATCCTGTGTTAGTTTTGTTTCTAGGTTTAAATGTGATGGGTCTCTGATTTATCTGAGCCACAATTGAACTAATTTCAGCTGTTTTTGACACTAGCTGTCATTAATAATTCATGGCCAATGTAAAATGGCCTTCTTTACAAGAAAATGTTTAGAAAACTCCCTAAATCTTGACTAGTATGGAGGGCCGAAACTGACTAAATTTAAAGCAGTAATATATAAATAGACCAATAAATAARTAAATGCACTTAAAATGCACCAATTAATATAAAAATAACTATTTCATGTTTTATAATTTAATTGACCTTCATGTTTAGTTTTCCTGCTTAATTCTAACAAAAGTTATATTTTATCACATAAGTTAAACTTTACTGTTTTTTAAAACATATATATACACATATATATATATTTTTTCCTTTGACTTGTAGAATTTAATGTCTTCGGTCCTTCAAAGAATAGAGTCTTGTATTTTTCAATAACTTTTTCTCCAACTTGAATTGGAACAGTCACTTGAAAGGGGTGAATATTTATGCAATCACTTATGTTACATGTTCTTTATTTAATTGGTATAACTTTAAATTTGATTTCACTTTGACATTGAAGAAAGTTTATTTTATTTTTTTTACGGGTTTTTTGTAAAGAAGACCTATTTATATTGACCACAATTSATTTATGACAAAAGTGTAAAACATCCACGGGGGTGAATACTTTTTATAGGTACTGGATTATTCTGGTGCAYTATGGGATATTGCCTTCAAAAATGTGGGTAAAGTTGAAGTTTTTTGTGTCGAGAGTTTCAGGAATTTAAAACTCTTACAAAGAAAAATTAAAAGAAAAACCAAGATTCTCAATATATGCTTTATATTTTACACAAATACAATTATTACTTCAGTACATACGTTGTAGACGAACAAGTCAATAGGTGAATTCTGTTTATACTCATGCATAAATCTGAATTTATTTTATACAAACATACGTATGTTGATAATCTAACTACACTAATAAAAACTGTTCTGTAAATTATTACATAGACAATAAAACAATAAATATGCAAAACACCTGCACACTCCTAAATTAATGTTTAGCCTTTTTTTTCAGCTGACGTGTCAAGTACATGTAACAGTAAAAGAACCTTTTTATTATTTGTTTAAATGCAGCATAAACAATTATATAGTACACAAGTGTTTTTTTTTACCATCAATTAGAGAAGCCTGAAAAACTACATAACATTTTCTCCTTCACTGGATTTACTTACATAAAGAACATTTGTCCATGTAGAGTGGAAACTGATTAAAGGTTGTGCTTAAAAAGGCAACATTATGTACAGATTTATACACATATATTAAAATTCTTACATTAGTGAAACWTAAAAAAACTATAGGGAAAATGGACAGAAAAGCCATACCTGACGATGACCATACGATTTTCCAGAATTGTTAGCTGTTTAAATAAAATCACCATGCAGTGTACAAATTACTGCTGGTTTAAAATAATACAAGGTTTCTTAGATTTGTTTAACAGCAGCAAAACTTTTAGGATTCTCCTTTACTGACAAGAGTAATGGGCTGTTCRGCTCCAGGCCGAATGTTGAACGTCATCCCATACTGGTGTCTGGAATGTGCCCCACCGCTGGGAAGAAAACACATTTTGAGTAAATGTACTGATAAAACATGAGGCTCATATTCACCAAAAGAAAAACCTGAGCACTGGTTTTCTCACCTGGTGGGMGGTTTCACTTGCGAGCTCTGCTGGTATTTCTTGACCAGTTTACCCTCCAGCTCCTTCATGTCCATAGATGTTGGTTTGGTTTTTGTGGGAGGGGGATTTTTGATCTGTGATTTGGCTTTTGGTATCACAGGAACCTTATTGTCTTCTTCAGATGCCGTGGTACCCCAGTCATCAGTACTGGAGTCAGYGTTGTTCACAGGGGTCATTTTCTGGTCCATTTCAATCATCTTCTTTTGCAAGATGCTTAGGAGAGTGGCCTGATTGGGTGAAAGGGTAGCAGGGACTTGATTGGTKGGGAGTTTATTGGCAGCAGGCTTGGGTTTTGTCTGGAATTGMGCTTTTGGTTTGACGTCTGTTTCAGGAGGCGGGAGTTTTGGGGGTGGAGGTGGTATGTGATTTGGAAGAGCCAGAGTTGGAGGTGGYGAGGCTACTGCTGGTTGTAGGGCCTTTTTCGGAGGGGGATCAGGTGGATGGATGGATGGGGGTGGTTCAATTGTTGTCAAAAAGTCATCAAACCCTGGTGGTGGAGGAAGCAATGGCACATTCAGATCCTCGTCCTCCTGTACAGCTTGGGACATTGATGGGGGTTCTTTGACATTTTGTTTCTGCTCAACCAGGTTGTTTACAATTGGGAATGAAGGTGCCGGACCATTCGGTGGCTTCTGATCTATGACCTCAGCAGGACTGAAGGATTTTTCTGGAGCTTGAATTGCATTTTCATGTTCTGTAGACCAAACAGACTTTGTACTTTCTTGTAACCTTTCTTGTGAAGGAGTCAAGTACGATGAAGGAGACTTGGGTACAACAACAAAGGAATTTGGACTTGAATCACTCGGGTAAATGATTGCACTGGACTGTTCACTCATCTTGGTGCTGCTTTCTCGTGACACCGAGGCAGACGTTCTCTGCTTGTCTCTCTGTTTAGCTGCCTGTAGGAGAGCCAGTGGTGATGCTGTGTGGGTCTCTCGTGTCCCGCTGTTTTCATTAGCCTTYAGAGTACGTAGCTTACGATCCAACATTGGACTGAAACTGCGGGTTTGACCTGGAGATCCGTTAGGTTCAGGGACTTCTAAATCACTCTGAACATTATTCATTTTCTGTAGCTGTGGAGACTGAAGTGGTTTGGTTATGTCTGGCAGGGATGCAACRGGTTCTTTTTTAATCTCTTTTTGAAGCTCAGGTTGGGGTAGTTGAGATGATCTGGGTACTTCTGGTTGAGATGGTTTAGGTACTTCTGGTTGAGATGGTTTTGGGGTTTCTAGTTTAGATGGCTGGGGGACTTCTAAGTCCTTCTGTGGTTCCTGTACTTCTTTAGGGTCTGGTTTAGCTGGTTTAGACACTGGAGTGGGTTTTCCTTCCACAGTGACAAGCACAGGAACAGAGTTACCAGACCCCAAGTCTTCCAAGAGTAGCATCTGCTTTGGTCTGGCATCGTGATTCTCTTGTGTGCCAAGGAACGTGGTTTTTGGAGTATCTAATATCTTTGGTTTATGTTGGGGATTGAAGGTGGAGAATGTGGAGGAGTTCCCAGTGGGAGATGGTGCTGGGTTATCTGGTGGGGAGTCAATGTTAAACATGGAAGAGTATCTAGCAGGCTTCGGAGGCGGTACTTTACTAGTCTTGGGTTGTTTTTCCTGTGGAGGCTGTGGTGGGGCAAATTTTGGATGCTCAGGAATAATGGTTGGTAGTGGATTGGAAATGGATGTCGATGATGCAGAGCTAGTTGAGCAGGCTGATGAGGGCCTTAGTGGTACTGTTGATGGAGGCTTTAAGATGGCCAAATCCTCCTGCTCCTTGGACAGCGGTGGTTTTGGTGCTGGCATAGAAGGAGACTGAAGGGCATCAAGGGTGTTCAGGTCACCAAGGAAGTCTACCGGAGGGGGGATAAAATTAACTGGAGGAGGTGGCGGGGCCATTGAAGGAGGAGGAGGGGGAACAAATATTTCATCTTCCATATGGCCAGATATGATGGATCCGTTGGATAATTTAGTTCCAGCATCTGTGGTAGACAAGAAAAAGAAATGAAGAATGGGAAATGTTGCAAATCATGGAGGGGAAGTATGCAAGATATGAAAGGTCATCTTATTTACAATCACTAAACCTAAACTGTTCGAGAAAAATAAGTTAAAAAAAAACATTTCCACTATGTAAATATGCTCTAAATCTGACATGGTAGTTTGGTATTTTTTCAGGATGGTTATTGCACAACTGCCTAGATAAACATTTACCTGCCCTGCTTTTTCCCTTTATTCTTATTCCTGTGATCAATCAACTGAGTCTGAGTAAAGGCACCAGAACATACCTTGATCCAACACAGTCTAAACATTCCATTTATTTTCCTGTGTACCTTAACCTTAAGTACATAATTAGTAAGATACTCACCTGTGCCATTGATTTTTGGACCATTAGTATTGGGGAGGAGAGGGACTTTAGGAGTTGGGACGGCAAACCCCTGGAAACTGTCAGCCACAGACTGGGAAGAAGAAAGCAAATACAATAAGAAATCACTGCCACAAGAAACAGCAGGGATAAGATTAGAAACTGTACGCTCTGTTCTGTAGAAGAGTTTTTGGCAAGTCTTCATTCTCTGAAGGTGAACAAACCAGTTCTTAGCTATTGCATGACCCAGTGTTCTTTGAATAGGGGATGCATTATTGATGTCAACAAAATAAAAGTTTCTGGCAGGTAATTATATGTGATTTCAGGTTTTCCTGTTATGGGAATCGTCTCGTATGGCAGTTCACAGGTGCATGATTTGCACACTATTTATGCAAAGGGTAGGTGATCATGAATAAATTAATTATTTATTTCTCCCTAAGGAAATTTTTTGATATTGCAGTCACCTGTGTCTATATGTTCATTTAGTAGTCTGTTAGCAAAATATCTCATGAAGCGCCAGACAGATTGTATTGGAACTCTCAGAAAGCCATCAATGGCTGTGGAACTGATTACTCTTTAACCTGATTCAAGATAGAACTCAAAGTTAATCATTTAGTAAAATAGTTATAATTCAGTCAATTTGTCAGATACTGACATAAGACTTAGAGTGGTGGTAGCTGAGAGTCATTCCTAACATTCTCCGAGCACTAATGGATTGTATAAGATCTATGTCTAAATCTTGGCCTTTGTCCTCTTTATTGAAGTCAACCCTGTCTGTAAGCAGACTATCTTATGAATCAGAGGACATGTTTCAATGAAACTTCCAGGCTGTAAACATTGGGTGCACGTTGGCAAATGGATATTTTTAGTGTCACTTTGGTTCAAGATAAATAGACCAATGTCATTTTTAGCAAACACAAAAATGGCTAMAACTCAGTCGATTTTACAGATATGGAGCTAAAGTTTGGTGTGTCCTACCCTACAAATATTCCCAGTGCTAACAAATCATTCAAGATCATTGTTGCAATTTTAGCATTCAAGACGACGAGCTGTTTTTTACAGATAGTTTTATTCATTAGTAAAACAGCATTCCAGCAAGCATGAGACAAATCATTTTACCCTTGTCAGAACAAAAATGCTTGGATTTTGCTTTTGGGTTTGTCATAATATATGTATAGGCCAAACAGTCTAAGTTCACGTTCTTTAGTTATGAGGAAGATTTGATGAATCAGAGGTAACACCTATCATTCATAGCACTATTGTTGTTCAAATGGGCCTGGTTGTCAAGTTAGCTGCTTGTGAATGTCAGGCAGGTTGTTGGGTGGGGGGAAGAAACAAGCCGAAAGAAGTGCTGCTCACTTCATGGAGCCAGTGCCACCGAAAACAAACACAGACCATGTTGACACAACAAGAGATTCTGGAGATTTGAAAGTGTAAATCATTCTGGCGTTGTTCGACGTGTTTTCATATCCACGTGACTCGTGGTGCAAGTTTGGTGCATTTCTGCACAATAATGTTCTCATGCAGCGATGAGTCCGTTGGATTTTTATTCAAACATATGAGAAGCACCGATTTACAAGAAATAATTCATATTTACATGCAGTGTGAAAATCCCTCTGCTTTGCATACAAAATTCTAACACATTAAATACAATTTGTTTGTTCCAGCGTTTATGCAAATCCAACCAGCAATCAAATTGACCGTCTGCATGACATCACACACTGGCACTTTGTTTGATGATACTCCTGCTTACATAGCTGCACTTTGAAAGTTACAAAATCCTGCATGGTAGTCTGAGGGTGTGACTCCAGACCCAGTTTGATTCCGTTTTCTGGCTCAGTGTAATGACTCACATTCAGCTGTCGCAGCACTGTGAAGCGTCCTGCCCGTGTGCTGCTGGGTGTGCCACAAAACACTCCCTAACAGCTAGGCGAGGTGTGTGAACCAGATGAGCTGTTTATTTGCTCCATGACGAGATAATAGGCGGCTTGTCAGTCACACAGAATGCTGAAGTGGACGTAAATTAAAATGAGTCTTTGCCAAACTGCTTAAAATATAAAGGAACACCTGTGACTTTGCAGTGAGCCAGTGTTGTAAGACAACATGCTGGGAATGTCCAGAGTTGTAAAACACAAGAAAAAGCATAATAGGTGTGCATTAGGTTATTAATGCAGTGTTAAGAGTGTTTAGGGAACATCTAGTTAGCCAAATCTCTTACTGGAATGCAGTTTATGTCTCTAATGATATGCAATCCTTTGCTATATTCCTGCAGACAGGTGTGGGTCAGATCTGGTGTCAGGCTGGCACTGCAGCCATGGCAAGTGGTTTGTCAATCAGATGTGGGCAAGGTCTGGTAATGATGGCACTGCTTGTAAGAGAGAATAATACAACTGTCCCAGTTGTGGTTTGGTTTATGTGGTGTTGGCCCATGCATGGACCTCCTGGCAAACGGAACGTAATTCTTTGCAATATCTGGGCCGACTGCATTGTGCAGGCCAAACTAGATAAATTTTGCTATATGGGTTGATGTCGCAATAATATACTTTTGGATTTAATGTGAAACCCTAAATAGCAATTAAAAAGCATAAAATAACTACTTTTCAGTCCGAATATTTGCAGTTGTTCCATAAAAATTCCAAACTAGAATGTATTTATGAGCAAAACCTGGTTTAATAATTAACAATGTGTCAAACTAGTAAACATGTTTTTAAAAAGTACAAAATTTGAAATTATTCATTGCAGTGTACTTGTGGAGTTAGTGTAACTTTTGATTTATATATGTTTTTATGTTAATTTTGAATTTTTGACTCTTTTGGCCTCCAGTATATTTTGACCTGCAGAGCAGTCTTTGCAAATTAATGTTATCTTTACTGAGAACTGCACCTATTGCTGAAAACTGTTTCATTCCAAGAAAAGTGTTATTTTTACCACTCCCACATGGGGTAATAACATGAAAGTAAACTCTGCTAGAAGATTTTCACTCTTCCACTGACCCAGTTAGCAGAAAGAAAGTTTGAATTAAATGTCCAAACCTCTGCAAATTCATATACACCTGTGTAGGTGTACGAGGCTTAAAATGATCTAATTCTTTAATTTCAGGTTAAAAAGACAAGTTACTGTTTTAGTTTATTTATATAATAAAGTTAAATTGAAAAGTCATGTACAGAATGAAGTAAATACTCACAGTGTGATGTTTGACAGTGGGTCTGGCTCGAACGTTGGCTGTCCCAGATTCTGAGATCTTGGTTGAGTCCAGCACCAGCTCCACATTTTCTGATTAAGCAGAGTAGTAGAATTTGTCAGCATGCTTAAAATACAGACATAAAGTGTGCAAACGTTTTAAACCTACCCTCATTTTTTTATACTTTTTATTCCAATCCAGCTGAGTTTCTTGTAATTGTTAATTAACTTGAACAGTAGTTCTCTAAAAGTCTTGAAATATTTTAAAGATTTTCTTTACATTTTGGCTGTATTTCCACTCATTGTCAGTTCTTTCGCTTGACCCCTAAAGCATACAGAGCGTGCTCAAAATAATGAGAAAAGTGGGCATATGGAGGACAAACAATGAAGTGTCAGGTCTTAAAAATTAATTTGTAACAGGAGAACACAACTCATTTTTGTCATTTTTTTTTTCATAGATTCAGCTAAAGGATGGGAACACATTGCGACAAACTTCTGGTAAAGTGCCTAAAGACCCAAAATGTAATTAGTTACACTTAAGTGATGTAAGAAACAAAACTACAACATTCCTCTGAAAATGGTCACGTACTGAACTGAAAATGAGTTTWAAAAAAATTTAAAAGGCCAAAATCCCCATAAGCAGAAAATGTTAGGGAAATTTAAGACAAGAAGGTCCAGTTGGAAGGAAAACTATGAAGAGTCTCAGGACAGTTATTTTAGATTATTTTAGGCTCAATCCTTAAATAATTTGGCTCCAGAAAGAAAACTAAACCCATTTTTAAATCCCCTAATGGACCTTTTTAAAGGCCGTTCATCAACCTCATGCCATGGCCTAAAAGGATTTGTTGACAACAAAATATTGATGCACAGCTGAAGCAGTAATTATTCAACCTCTGTCATCAGGTGAAAGTTCAGCAGTTATCCAATATTCAGATAGTTTGTCTGTGGTGAGGAAAATCATTATCAAATCAGTTTAAAACCCTTGTTTACTCAGCAGAAATCAGAACATCTGAGCACAGGCTTTGAGTAAAAACTAAAACATGAAGAGCACTGAGGTACAAATAATGAACAAATCTCTGCCCATCTTATGACGAAGCTGCACAGACAGTAAAGTCTAAAAAAGATGGAAACTCTTTTGCTTTTAATAAATGACTGAAGTTGATCGGAGAAAGAGACAGCGTTGAAACGACACGTTCTCCTGCAAGTAATTCCAGCATTTGTCAGTTTGTCCAACAAGATGACTGATGACAGATACCCGTCACTAAGAGGCATTTAGTYTGTTTGTTCCTGCAGCTCTTTGTGGTGTAATTCTCCTGCAAACAAAGACTGACTGAAGACATCATGGAAACCATCACACCTCTCCTTACTTCCTCCTCGAGATTTTCTTGCATATCAAACAAAACAATCCGAGGAAGTGGAAGGAACGCTGGAATGAAAATGTGGCTGTTCTAAACCAGTCAAACCAAAAGACTGGTTTCCCTTTCATGCCTTGTACTGATTTAAATAGACAAATGTTTCCTCTCCTGTTTCACCTTTGCATAGCCTTGGCTCTTCTGTTCTTACTGATCATACTAAACCAAAGATACAAAGTGCAGGGGGAAATCTTTTTGGTTAACTTATATAGAAAATAAAGAATTCTGTCTTGGGTTCAAGTGGACACAATGTTGATGGAGCTTTGTGGGTTTTTTTTTTTGTTTTGTTTTGTTTTTTTGTGAAACCTCCTTTAGCTGGCAGAGATTGTTTTAGTTGATGTAAGTGATGACGTCGAATGTTTTGGCTTAGGATTTTGGTTTGGTAATGATAAGAACAGGTTATTTCTAAACTTTAAATATTTAGATTCATCAAAGTCTTTACAGCTCTCCCGATCTCTAAAAGTTACAAWGACCGCTAGTTGTAAAATAGGGTACACAGGGTGGTACCAGGTGGATGTGTCCTCAGGTGGATAGACGCTATGAAAGTGTGGTTATCTGGAACAATAGAGGTCAAACGAAGCTTTTACAAGGTCAACAGAACTTTCCAAAATGAGTGCTTGGAGGATGGTTAGAAAGAAAAATGATTGCGTTTTTTTGATTGCTAAAGACCTTTGGCAAGACACTGCAGAGGGTTTCTCCTGTTCACCTACAATTTCAAACCTGTATAAATAACTTTCCTGTCCTAACTAAAATTTAACTATCGAATAAAACAAAACCCATTTTATAAACTGAGCCACTTAACTGATGAAGTTAAAGTTATTATTTATTTATTTTTGCTTCTAGGTATGCTTGGAAAAGAAAAGTGTCAAGACAAGAGTGGATGAATCATGGTTTGGGCTTGTGTTGTAGTGTTTCCCTGGTGATGGGACTATTAGATCTGGTTATACAGCAACAAATATATGGTGAAAAAGAAGATTAAACACCTCCTCCAAACTTCCAATGGGGTGAGGTAATGAGAAACTAAAGATTTAGTAGAAGTCCTCGCATCTGAACTTCATCGAAAGTGTGCGGATAAAAAAATTATTTTGAATAAAACAGCACTAATCTGAGCTAATAATCTTAAATAAAGAAATGTGTCCTTGCCAAAGGGTGTGTTACTAAAAACAGTCTACAGAATGTTCTTAAACTGTTTGCTTAAGGCTGCATTCCTTTTTCTATTTGTTTGAAACTGCGAGAGGTGCCAGAGGTGGACAATAATGTTTGTGTGTCTGTTACCAAATAACTACAACACAGTCGATTTCAGACACTAAGCTAAAAGTTGATGTGGTAGTGGCTGAGAGTCATTCACAAAACGTACTGTAACATTTGCTCAAGATATTATCTGTAAGGTTTGACCAAAATCCCGTCATCATTTCTCATCAAGAGGTGATCTCAGCTAGAACGGTTCTAAAAAGACGCCGAGTCAGCTTTCTGACATGATTCTTATTTAAACTCCTCAGACAATAATCACTTGAATTTTGCCTTTCTGACCACAACTCTCTCACATAAAGGCACTTTTGAGCTGTTAAGTTTTATAGAGGTAGATTACTATAGTTAACTGAGAACAGAAAGAAGCCTGAAGCTCAGCTGGCGTTCCCATGGAGAGATTTTAATATTTAAAACAGGTTTTTCATGAATTAATTACAAATCTCCTTAAAGACACCACCTTCATTTGGTTTGATATGACACACTATAAAGTTAAAACTGCTGAAAAATACATATAAATAGTTTTATCATTAAATACAGAGTCTTGATGAAAAGCAGAAGCAGGTTTTGACAGCGCTGTCTGTGTCAACATCAAGTCCAAAGGTTGAGGTAATCTAAGTAAAGACAGCTGGATTTCCCTGACAACAGTGTCACCAACTCACCCATGTCCTGGATCTTAACTTTGGTGTCGAAAAGAGACTGGTTCTTCCGACCCGTTAAATTCAGCAGCCCTTTCTTCATTTTTCTGCTTTTCTGTCAAGACTCAGCTGGAATTCACTGTTTCATGTCGATCAGCAGGTAAATCCCAGGTAAAGAAAAAAAACGCTGTCAGCAACAAGTGAGTGTAAACTTTTTTTCTAGACAGAGTTTAAAAAAAGGCTCAACCCCCGCCCATTGTCCCTTCGCCGCTCCTCCTCCCTCCTCCTGCAGGTGAGGCCTCCTTTTCAGTCACATTCCTGTTTCACCTGAGTGGCTGAGTTGCTCTGCTTTGATCCAGCTGAAAAAGACTTTGTTCAAATCTGCTCCTCAGAGCTGGTGTGGCCGAGGTTAGAGAAGGCTGATTTAATGAACGCACATGTTCAGGAACACAGGGTTCCTCTTTTTTTTTTACATCATGGCAAAGTCAACAACATGTTTTCACTGTACGTCAGTGTTTTCATTATCACACAGAAGGTTAATAGATGCTTATTTTGTTCTTAGCTTCTGAAAACAAGTATTCTGGTCATTAAAAAAATAAAAATATAACCATTTATCTGGTTCAAAGTATAATCAAGCCATTTAAATTCAAACAGTAGCATCAACTTTAGAGGTCATCTTTTTTAATCAAATATTTAATCCACTTTTCTAAGTAATAATAAAATGATTCAATAACAATATAAAAAGTACTTCGACCTAAATTTATATTAAAATCGTTGTTGAATTTACCTTTTCATTGATGCGTTTGTGTAGCTACCATTACATTTAAATAAAACAAATATTTTGTTAGTATAGTCTTTAACTTGAATCTTACGTTTTGCACATGATTGGCAGCACTTGAGGGTACCAGAAGCTCAAAACAAGTGTTAATAGCAACAAAAAAAATAAGCTGTTTGGCAGCGAAGATTTTGGCAAATTCTTCATGCACTTAACCCACATACTCAGCTCTACAGCTCATTCCACAAATGCATGTTCCTTACAAATGTGGCCCCAACAAGCTTTCCAACGGTATAAGATTTTTTGCCAAGAAGAATTGTTACAACAAARAAATCTTATACCAAATACAAATGTCCTTACTTTTTGTGCTAAATGTAGAAAAATAACTGAAAAGTGGCCAAAAACACATCCCTGCGGTACCCCCACTGTGCTGGTTGTCTTCTTCCACAAGACTGGATTTGTAAATATATGAACTCCACATAAAAAATTATAACAGTTATTTCAGATAGATAGATAGATAGATAGATAGATAGATAGATAGATAGATAGATAGATAGATAGATAGATAAGCGTTAAACATTCCATGAAGGAAGAGTTAATGAGATCAAGCTGTTCTTGGTTGACCCTTGTGAATAACTTTTGGTGTGATCTCACATGATTTTGTGCATTCCGTTAGTGCATAATGTTAAAAGTGAGTCTCAGCTACTATCATACCAAGTTTTAACTAAATATACGAAAAACTGATTGAATTATATTGACTTTTGTGTTTGCTAAGGAGGTCAAATTGAATCACGCTGCATGCCTACATAATCAGTTGTAGATGTTTATCTAATGATTGTTTTTTCTTAAAAGTTTCAATAAAATCTGATCGTGTGAAATATTTTGCTAACACAACGAACACCCACTCGTGCATGCACAGCATATTTGCCCACACCATTGTCCAGTGACAAACGTTTTACTTTAAATGATGCAACCTCTTGATTAAAATCTTAATTAAAATCAACAAAAGTTCAATTGTTCAAGTATCCAAGCTGTTCATATGACCAGAGGATCTCCCTCATTAGCACAGTCACAAGTGTACCTGACCCTGCACACCTGTCCATCCAGTTACTGTCTTCATTAGAAGTCATCATGCTGGTAGGAGGAAAATTCAAAGAATGTGGCAGCAAGAATCTTTGCTGTTTAACCAGCTTGACTGCATAAAATACTGTACACACACATGCTGTGGATTATGGCATTTTTTCCATCTAGTTTATTCTCTTTCGGCGAACAGATTCTTTGACTTTTTATTCAAACATAAGCTAATAAAGTCATTGAACACGGTTTACTCAAAGGTTTCTTGGGTTTTATTTGAATATACAGTAGGYGTGCCTTGATAAATTAACCACTTCCTCTTTCCTTCAATTTGTTCTAACTGTTGAGATCCTGACTTGTTTTACTGGCAAATTTAAAGTGGTCCCAGCAGACCACGGAGACCAGGTCTAATTACAAGGCTTTTTTAATTGCTAATTAAAATAGAGGCATCATGTTTTTGTACAAGTGTCAGAGGTTCCATCCATCCATCCATTTTCTTCCGCCTATCCGGGGTCGGGTCGCGGGGGCAGCAGCTTCAGAAGGGAGGCCCAGACCTCCCTCTCCCCAGCCACTTCTTCCAGCTCCTCCGGGGGAACTCCAAGGTGTTCCCAGGCCAGCCGAGAGACATAGTCCCTCCAGCGTGTCCTGGGTCTTCCTCGGGGCCTCCTCCCGGTGGGACATGCCCGGAATACCTCACCAGGGAGGCATCCAGGAGGCWTCCTTACCAGATGCCCGAGCCACCTCAACTGGCTCCTCTCGACGTGGAGGAGCAGCGGCTCTACTCTGAGTCCCTCCAGGATGACTGAGCTTCTCACCCTATCTCTAAGGGAGAGCCCAGCCACCCTGTGGAGGAAACCCATTTCGGCCGCTTGTATCCGGGACCTCGTTCTTTCGGTCATGACCCAAAGCTCATGACCATAGATGAGGGTAGGAACGTAGATCGACCGGTAAATCGAGAGCTTCGCTTTCTGACTCAGCTCTCTCTTCACCACGACGGACCGGTACAGCGCCCGCTTTACAGCAGACGCTGCGCCAATCCGCCTGTCGATCTCCCGCTCCTTTCTTCCCCCATTCGAAGAGGAGACGTGGGTCCCCCTTCCAACGGACTCACCATCTGTAGGAGGGGCCAAAGGGGTCGGGTGCAGTGTGAAATGGGCGACGGCCGAAGGAGGGGACCCTGGCGGTCTGATCCTCGGCTGCAGAAGCTGGCTCTTGGGACGTGGYGTCAGAGGTTATCCATGTTGAAACAAGACGTCATCAACATTTAACGTTCAAAATCTGTTTGATTGACACAGTTTCTTTCTTTTCACTGTAGTTATGCAACTTTATTTTTTTTATAAGTCCAGTAAGATGAGCCCCATGCTCATCGGTGTTGGTTTGTGTTGACATGTCTCCAATTCAGCATAAATTAATACTATTAAAAGATATGCAGGAAACAAAAAGGAGGAAACTATGTCAGTCATCTCACCCAGCTCAGGTAAATGTTAGAGCGTGTCAGTAGTATCAAATGAAACGTAGAATTTGTCTCAAACAGAAAATGAAAGCTTCACATTTTCAGTTTATTTTCTGTAGAAGGGGATTTAAAAATAATTTTCAGCTGGAACTAATTGGATAAAGCTTTTAGTGTTTTCTTGTTTTGCTCAAAAGAAACTGAAGTTTATTTCAATCTTGACAAGTTGAGACCTCATGGGTCATTTTGACGTTTAAAGACACTTTTAGCTTGAGTTTTTATAGAAAAAACTGCACAGAGTTTATGGAGTTGCTATGACGCAGGTGCAGGGAGCAGCAGAAGCTCTGTTGGTGATAAAGGTGTATTACATCTTTATTGTGGATGGTAATCTGCTGCCATCTACTGCTGGAAAACATCAGAAGTTCACCAGTCAATTCTTAAAAAAAGAGCCCTGTGTGGTCAAATTGAACAGAAACTGTGACACATCTTTTTGGTACTGCTCTTTCACACAGGTCTTTGACTTTATCAGCTTTATTATTAATTTGAGGTTTTTCTCCTCACGAAAATGTTTTATCCAGTTTTGTTTTTAGGATCCTCTAAAAAGAATCTAAATGAATTTTTGACTGTTTTTATGATAAATTTGCTTATTCTTCTGGATACATTTTATATTTATAAATGTAAATTTCTTTAAAAATAAAAAAAAGTTAATTAAAAAAGTGTTTTCGTCATTGCCCCGGCTCGTGCCTTTCTGTGTGGGGTTTCCATATTCTCCCTCTGCATGCCCAGGCTTTACACTGGTTCATTAGTAACTCTAAACTGACCTGTGGGTGTTTGCTGGTCTTGTTTGTGTCTTTGTGGTCCTGTGATAGACTGGAGACCATGTCCAGGGTTGTACCTCACCTGTACGGGCACCAGCTCCTGTGACACGGGTAAAAAAAATGGATGGATGGATGGAACTGTTCATTGCATCAAGATTTTGTCACAAAAGTAAATATCTGTTTTTTCTACTCGTGCAAGTGAAAACTTATTTTATATTGGCCAACTATTCAGGCCATTTGAAACTCAATCACTGCCAGGAAACAAGTTTGGAGATCAGATTTGTGTTATTGATATTCTCCAGAGAACTTTTTATAAAACCTTTATTTAACCAGGTAGATGTCATTAAGATTAAAAATCTCATTTTCAAAAAGGACCAATCAAGCACAATTAAATACATGATGATGAATTAAAGAAAAAAACACTCGTAAAATGTACAACTAAAATAGACTACAAAATCAGTTAAAATATTTACTAAGAACCACTTTAAAACATTAAACAAGACCAAGTCCTTCAACTTCCAGTATTTCTTTACTCTCAGGCTGCATGTTTTTATCCACAACAGGTAAGATATTAACTGTTCATTATCTTGTCCCTAATCAAAACATGCAAACTATCACTTTATGAGCACTGTAACAGTTAAAAATAAAAGAAACATTTAGTAGAATGTTGTGTGACTTACAGATGAATCCTCCAGCAGTGGATGTATTCAGATTACAGCCAGGCTGAAAGCTTCTGTCTGCTCTGCTTTCATTAAGACGAGGCGATGTTTTGTGGTTTTAAAACATACACAGCTTATAAAATCCATGCAGATGCAGATTATCTAAGCTGAGGGAAAACATCTTTCTGTGACCTTCATCTCCTGTATGCCCACAGGACATCAATCCTTATCTCAGAATGCACAAACCTAAACATTACCATCACACAAGCTGCAACCATCACATCTGCTTGACAATGAGAAACTGAACCAGGAAAACAAGCGACATGAAGGCCGACGACACGAGGGACAGGCTCTGCAAAGTTTCAGGGTGTGGTTTGTTGTCACCAACGGCTTCACCTGTTTTATTTATCTGYTCAGGGAAGCTTCTTGTGTTCCGTTTTTAATGGAAACTCTCCATCATGCCTCCCAGAGGAACAAAATGTTACATAATATCTGCAGCCTGACACGTTTATGGTCCGTGAAGTGAAACAGATCAGATGAGAATGTTTTATTTTTGAGTGCATGAATGAATGAATTTTTAATAAAACTTGCAAAAAGTACTCATATGATGTGGATCTATGATTCAAATGTCTCATCTTTTAGTTATTTTATTTTAAGGACTTCATTATCCTGCATTTACTCCTAATTGTTAAAAATTACCTACAATTTTTTTTAATATTTTCGCCCAAAAACAGAGGAAGATAACAGGGCCCATATGYGTTTGTGTGTCTGTCAGCAAAATATCTCATGAGCCTCTGAATACATTTGAATGAATTTTGCAGAAAATGATCATTGGATGYCGATCTGCATCTGATTAGTTTTTTAATTCAACCTCAAGATGGCTGTCACAGCCAATTGACTTTCAAACAAAAAAATAAATAACATAATATTGACATAAAATGTGGTGGTAAAGCTGAGACTTATCCAGATTATCATCAGTGTTAACAGATTGTGCAAGACCTTTTTGTTCCCATTAACTGTTTGAAGTCAACTTTGTGTCTGTTAGCAAAATATCTTATGAACCAATGGTCAAATCTTAATGTTTTTTGCCTTTTGCAGTCATTGGATGTTCATCTACAACTGGTTAAAGTTTGGGGTCAATCCACTTCAAGATGACCAATAAATTAATCCACATAGCTAACACATAAATGGCTCTAACTTGCTCAGTTTGACAAATAATGGGGGGAAATTAGAGTGGTAGTAGATTAGAGTCATTCACAACACATAAACTGACGGTGACCTGTTGTTAGCCTATTGTTAGACATTTTCATGGTTTGATTAAATTTCTTCTCATTAGGAGAATAATGGGTTTTGTAGGGAGAAAAAAYTCGCGCTTCGTGACAAATTACAGAAAAAGGTGTGTCACCTGAGTGACGTCACGCCGTACCTGAGTTTCGGTGAGCAGGAAGAGGAGGAGAAGGGAGGACGRAGCCGAGAGAAAAACATCGGCTCTTTTAAGTTCACGCAGGTAAACAATTGTTGTTGTTTTAATCAGTCAGAACCGCGGGGGGTTCTGTTGGGTCACCTAAATTCAGCTCGGATTCGTGGACGCACGCAGGCAACAGACGCTTTCAGTCCCAGTTGTTGGCTCACAGCCCGACAGGACTTCCTGCTTCAACCTCAGGTATGTTTGTCGCCTTTAATCGTCCACTTTGTCCTCTCATGTTGTAGTTTAGCGCGTTAACCGGGGTCGGTGTTGCTGCAGTGTTAACATTTAAAGTCATTTATAAATGTTAAATAAATCAGGTTCAGTAAAAGGCCTCCCCCGCTCGTGTCGGAGTGGAGCGGCTCTGAAAAGGTTGGGAAAGTCCGGATTTACAGGATTTTTTTCAGCAACAGTGAACGCAGCACGGCTTTGGCAGATTGAAAACTTAGACAAAACTTCCAGTTCTGTCCCGGGAAATAAAAGCCTGTAAGAACTGAACCGGGTTTATTTTTAATGTAGTGAGTGAGTTAGTTTGTTTTTTCTCAGTCAGGATGTCCGTCACCCCTCGACGTGTCCGCCTGAAGCCCTGGCTGGTGGCTCAGGTGGACTCCGGACGGTACCCGGGTCTGGTGTGGATGGACCGGGAGGCCATGCGCTTCAGGATCCCCTGGAAACACGCCACGCGACACACACCCCAGCACGAGGACGAGGACACCATATTCAAGGTAAAATAAAGATATTTGTATTTTTTTTTTTTGAGTGAAATAATTAATTAATTAATTTCGTGTCTCCCTGTTTTGTACCWGATTGATAATTAGGGTCATTGGTTGCCATCAGGGATAATGTTTTGGGCACTAATTAAATAACAAACGTTCATTTATATACTAAAAACACAAGAAGTATGTGCACAAGTTGAAATTTATTGTGGATATTTTTCTATTTATCACAGGTTTTTAAATTAAACATATGTTCAGTTAAATATATCTACATTTTTTTTTGAAAAAAAAATCTACATATTAAGAGTTAGTG